TAGGTACGCGCGATGTTCCACGAACGTTATAGGAATTTTTTTTGTGCGCTCCAAGAGATGGAGAGAAGTCTGAAATCACGTTGCTGCCATCATATGTCAGAAAAAAGTCCACAATATTCCACCATTGACTCTGATACACTAACCTCAACCTTGAACAAAGTTGTATAACAGATATATGAGGATCATATTTCAGTAATCTGATTTTTCAGCAGTTTCAAGTTTATAGCCCCTCGAGCTTTGATCCTCTGAGGACCTCTAATTCAACCTGACCTAATCTCATTTCTCCAAGAAGTAGGTATTGAATTTTTGCCACTTTCGGAGTCTAGAAGTTCTGGGGAACACTTCATTTGGCAAAGAATTTCAAAGATTTCCTGTTGTGTAGACAAACGAGTACTGGGTAAGAGTGGTATGACATATCTAGAGGTAAACAACGAAAGGATGTCGACAGGCTTTGTCGTACATCCGTCACAGCATTGATTGAATACCAAGTTTTTCAGGGATGCTTCTGTACACGATCATTAAGGATTCGACTCTACTGGAGATCGTTTCTGAGTGTGGGGTGTCTGAGAAGTTCAGAGTCTAGGATGACACTCAGAAACTCCACTACTTGTTTTCATTCGAGGTTGGATATAAACATCCACAGTGCCGAAGATTTGTTCTTCTGGTGAAATTATTTACTGTGTTTTCGTGCACTGATCGTTATGAGATTGAAAAAGTATCTTGGAATTTGCCTTTACTCATGACGGATTATAGTCATCAGCATAACCTAGTGATACCGTGGAAAGTTAGTAAAGTCTTCCACAAGACTCCACAAGGACGACATTACCTACTCTCTCTTATGGTCATCCACTATGAGTTTTTATATGAATGCTTTCAATACACGCCATCAATAGATCTCTGACATTTGGATGTGTTTCAGTCAAACATTCGACAATTAGACACATTTTTGAATACGGCAAATATTTCTTGGTGCTTGACTGATATTTAATAATTCATGATCATTGTTATAAAAGCAGTTACTGTCGATTTGCCTACCATATTCCAGGTAACACAATGGTGTCCAATGAACATCCAATGAACCACCATGTCTGGACACTAAGAACATCAACTGGGTGTTCAATAGATGTCCATCAGTCTCTCAATGGATTGCGAATGAGAATCCAATTTATGTCCATTGGCCATGAATCAGAATCATCCATCCATTGGACGTTCAATAGTCATCCTCTGGATATTGAATTTTGGTCCAATTATTGTAGGATAAATAGATAATGTACATCAGTTTGTAACCAAGAGAAAGTTGCGAACAGCATGGACATGAGAAAACGGTATAATAGATACCAATTCGGTTCCCAAATCCCCATATACTGTGCAACTTCATCTTGGCAATTATGTCCACACTGAAGAATGTGTTAATTATGAATATTCATCATAAAAACACATGATGAGAAGAAGGGAGAACATAATATTACTATAATACAGGATGTCCCTGAAAGGTCTGTACAAAATATCAGCACATATTCTTGAGGTCAAAATGAGTCGATTTGAAGCAACTTACCCCGTCTGCGAGATACAGGGTGATGAAAATGAATAATATAAATCTGCGAGACCACTTCAAGAAACCATTATGTGAAATTCATGTCTGCACTGCTTATTCAATGATCAAATTGAATTCACCAAACTAACAGCAAACATTCTTTATTTAAAATAATTAAAATATTCCGGTGCTGCATCGAACACTGAACATCTAAATACCTTGAGATTGGCTTTCGCTAGCGAATTTTCACGAGGGTATATCTTTTGCTTGAAAATTTCCAGAAAATTATTATCTTGACAAATCTAGTGGAAAGCTTCACTGAGAAAAAAGTTATGGCCATTATAAACCATGAGAAGTCCATTGGTGAGTACCCTCTGATGGCCACAGTGGAAAGGTGTCCGTATTCGTGTTTCGCAACTCAAAAAAACCGTTGATATCAATTTTCGAAGTAAAACGTTCAGAAATGTTTATACAGTATGAGGAATCCGATTCTTATTATTCAACTCTAATACCCTGTTTCTCGGAAATGGATCAATTTCGGACTGAAATAATTTGCCTTGAATTGGCTATCTTCACCTCAGAAACCTGCGCTAAGATTTTTTACAGTCACCTTGTATGATAGTTCAATGAAAGTTTAGATATAAAAATGTCAAGATTACTATCTCCCAACATTGTGAACATTAAATATCAGGCACACTTCTCTTTTTAATGTTGAACTGAAATAGAACTGATCTTTATTAATAAACTCGATGAAAATCATATTGAAGTTGAATCCGAGTGTAGAAACATGAATGTTCTGATCACCATCACTATCTTTTCCACAATAATGCACTCACTGCATGCACTGGATATAGTCTATTGTCATAAAACATTGTGGTGGATACTTTGGCGAGTGTCTTGATCAATGAAAAACGATTCAATTTGAAATATATTCTCAAAATGCAAAGCAAAAATATGACAAATTATGTATACCAAAAAGTTATGCTAGAAAATATTGTCACGATCCCAGGATTCGCCTTCTCAAGTGTCAGGAACTCGCGGGGCCTTTCATCCTGGTTGCGTGATCTTAGGGGGTTATGCTTAGCAGCGAGAGGGTGGCCTAACTACTACACACCGTAGCTCGGTTGTAGCGAGGAAAGAGTGTACTTCCTGTTTAACAAAAGTTATATTCATTAGTGATAAAAACAGTGGACATAGTGAGCAAGAAAAAACAAAAAGGGAAAAAAGTTACCAAAAGATATCAAGTGACGTGAATAAACTAGAGTGACTCTGTGCCTACACTTTCCAGTAACTCCCTACATCTCTGGATCTAACTACCAAAGGAGTTGAAGATAATTACGGGGGCCGCACGAGGTAACAAAAGCACTTTTACATAAAATAGGTACTCACATTGCCAATACCATTGCCGCTCTGGTGGATGGGGAGTTGTGCCTCGCCATAGCTCTAGGGTTTTTCTGCTACCAGGGTGAAAAAACTACCGGCGCGGATGACCGTACTCGGATCGGTATAGACAAGCTATCGATTCACGTACTATTTGTTCTGTCCGTAAAATCAATGCTCATAATGTTTTATAGTCGATACTTGTCGAGTTAGCAAAATCAGCAACAATCATATCGATTGAGTTCATTACCTCATAGGTGAACTTTCGAGTTCGATGAATTATGCCAGGAAGCTTACGTAGTTCCAGTCTGTGAGATATGAGCTGGGTTTGAATTACTTGTAAAAATGTGAATGACTAATAATAATTATATACCGAAGAATTATATTTTCTTTGGTGGATATTTCCTTATGAGTTCAATGAATTATTCGTTTTATATACCAGGTGTGACAATATTCAAGATCCCTTCATACATATTTATGGTTGAAATTGTCATCTATTCATGCACTCAACCTGAAAAATGAAACCAAGTGAAATAATATCCAAAAAAATCTAACGAACGGTTACCCTGTATATAGAAGCAGATGTCTATTGTGAATATAGAAATGGATGTTCATTTTTTTTTTTTTTTCAATTGTATTTCCTCGTTGGACACCCAGCACTGGATCCAACGCCCCATAAGTCGAAACTTGTGCGGGGTTAGGAAAGCATACATTTACAAACATCCATGGCCTAACTGAGATTCGAACCCATGCCTCGGTGGGAGTCCCCATACGAACTCAGCGCCTTCGCGCTCTCGACCACAGGGAACTAATTCTACAAAATGAATATCCAATGGATATATCAAATCGGTTGTCCTATGTATCATCTAGAAATGGATGTTCAATTTATGTACTGATTCACGTGTCCATTGTATATTCACAAAATGGTAGTCCAATGGATGTCCATGAGGACCATGCAGCCTGATAAACACAGAATGGACTTTTACTGGATGTACAAATTCAGGTGATTGTTGTATATCTACAAAACAGTTAATCAATGGATATTCTTGAATATTTCGCTGCCTGATGGACAGAAAGTGGAAATTCGATGGATGTTCACATCGAAATGTCATTGTACTTCTCCAAAATGGATATCCAATGGAGATCCATAGACATCTTGGTCCCTGATGGACACATAATAGACATCCGATGGATACATATGTGTTGCCTGGGATACGCTTGCTGTCCTGGGTGTAATACCTTCATTTCCTGAATCTTAATTCCAATGTAGTTATTTATACCTTTTCTAGTGCTCTCAGTGAACAAAAAGGAGGACAGATTCGTTCGAAAGAATTCGAAAGTGGTATTTTGCTTTGAAATGGAGGTGACACCTGGCCTTCTTGTGTGTTCAGCACTTGCATGATGGACGTTATGATTCGGTGGTCATGGGAAAACGGTTTGACTCAGACCCTCTAGGTCCTGACAATTTCGCTTATGCTCGGGCTGCTGAGCGATATATCCTCGATGTCTAGCCCTAGTCACAAAACTGAAGGTACACCTCACATTCATTGAATGGGGGTTAGCCGCACGTTTTGTTCACCTGCATGATTGGATCCAGTACCACCCCAGATGGTGTTGTGAGCTTTTACGTCGAAGCCCAACGAGATTGGTCCTGATGCAGTAGTCGGATAGCCTCTTTACTCCTACTCGCAGAGTCTACCACAGCGAAGTATTCAGAATCTATTGGTTTGCGGAGATGCAGGTTGTCAATGGAGATCTGAGAACAAAAATACAAGTAGACTACAGGCACACTTCCGAGTGACTGGGCAAAAATTGAACTGTATAACGATCATTATATGAATTGTTTTTCGAAATCTTCACATGAATCATAGTCGTTCTCGAACTCTCATGATGACTCGATTTTCATGAATGATATAAAATGAAAATATAATATGTTTCATGCATTTTGATCAGGTGTATCTCATTTTTGGGAATTTGATCGGATGAGTTGAAGTCACCCTGTACAATGGCTACTTCCATTTCGCATATAGTCACTATAGTATCCTTATCTCACCTATTATTCAGTTATTTGTTCATTATTTGTTATCGGATAACCAATAACCATTTGTAAATTTGGCTGTATGGTATTTATCAGAAATGTATAAATTGGAATGATTCAATCACCTGCTCGAATTACAAGTGCCAAGGAAGTGCCGCGAAATTTTCCCAGAATATTTGAAGTAGGTACAATGATTTAATATCAAAATGAGTATTCGTATATATATATATATATTCCTATTTGGGTGACCATAATATGTATTGAATTTTCAATATAAATCAGAATAGTCTGGTTTTTTATCTCTTCTGGATCAATACTCAATCAAGGTTTCGAACATATTTGCTTGAAAATATAACACTATGAATTCAAATTTTTCTCATGTATTCATGTAGAATCCGAAAACAATTCTCATTATTCAGAGTTTGTTTCAAATCTATTCAATATTGTGTCTATCTCCTCGTGACTATATAGAACTTCTGAATCATAGACTGAAACATTTGCCACGATAATATACTACACTGTTTCACCATCAACCAAACCAAGTCTTCATACGCCTTGACACGTGTTTGTCTAGCTATGATAGGATCTTCAGGAAAAGATTGAAACTGAATATCCTATTTCAGTATGCTACTTATATGTCCACCCAACCGTGAAAGGCACTAACCACCAAAGCAATGTTCATCATGGTTGAGTTCACATATCATCAAACTATACAGACGGCTATATGAGATAGGTCCATTATCCTTATTCATTTCTCTATAACTATTCTTGAATATCTCCAGGCTCTTACACGCATCTAATTTCATAACATTATTAAGTTTTTTGACTGATTCGAAGTTATGATTGTTCATCTAACCTACCATATTTCGAATGTGCTGGGTGTCCTTTGAACCTTGCTTTCATGGATCGCCTGGTTTGGCCTATATATTTCTTCTCACAATCATTACAACTAATTTCGTATATTCGTGACTTTCCAAGTGTCTCCACCTAATCTTCTGGATTACCTGATGAATTGCCTAATTTCCACTCAGAATGATAAATGCTTCCAAAGCCTTAGTTGTTGTCTATATACTGAAAAGTTTGAACTAGCCCTTTTGTGTGGAAAGAAATGTTAGTCATCAGTTATGTTTCTTAGTGTGTTAGTATGTTTTTGATAAACATTGAATTGACGTTCATCACCGCATTCAAAATTCAATTTGATAGGGGGAAGCGAATATTCAAGTTTGAGATGAAGTAATCTATATTTGTGATTTTCGTATCGGAAATGAGAGAAATCACAAATATCTAACCCATGTATACCAAAATTATATTGTTAATCAAAATACACTAACCCGGTAAGGAAATGGTGTGTTATGACATTATTAGTATTTTATAGATTCTAACACTCTGGGCCAGGACCATGTTTGTCTCTCTCTATTACAGGCTTTGTCAGTCATATGTGACCGACGGTGACTTATAAGAAAACGGTACTTGGCAGTGATTTTTAACCGACAGCAAAAATTTTAGTCGTGTCATGAGAAAACGACCGACGATGCATTCAAATCTCCATTGGATCTGAATTTGCGGCGCTCAAATGAACGTATGTGAATATTTTCCTGACGCTCATTATAAAATTTATAGCTACACTGATGCCTCAAAAACGATTAATGTATAACATGTGAAGAAACTCATGAACATATTTGAATATGATCATTGTCGGAATCGGTTCTCACATGACATTCAATGCACATAGAGGGCATCTCTTGGCAGCCTTCTCAATGCGTCTGCACTCTCTTCACCTCATTTTCAGCCCCCTTCCTTGTACGTTTTCTTTTACTAGATTTTTGTTACAAATTGAACAGTTTTTTTAATTTTCGGTGTTTTATCTTCTTGCTATTATAGCAAATGACACACTGTTCATATACCAATTCAGGAAGTACCCTGTCAACGGTGCATGGAACAAATTCAGGCGCCAATTTAAAAGCAAAATAGTCACCTTTGTTAAATAGCAAGAAGTTTCTCTTCCAGACTTGATCACCAATATGATATACATTGCTGGATCTTTCTCCTAAATTGTAAGTACGCGAATTCTTTCCGTATGCTTCATCAAGATTTCGTCGCACATCAATATATCTGAGGAAGCTGATCAATTCGATTTGATTAGTCTGGACGATACTTTTCCCTTGAGTCGAAATCTTTTGAGGACTCAAGCTCACCGTAGTTATCTCCTCAAGCAGGAACATATTTACCAAAAGTCAAAGTCGTTGTACTCATGCCAGTTGCCTCATGAACGGATGTCCTTAGTGCAAAACCTATTTTGTGGATTTCTTTATTTCACTCGCGGTTATTATTATCTCCCAAATACGAACATTTTTATGAACCGGGTTAACGCGTTCAACAGCGTTGACCTGTGCATGATATTGCGCATTTGAATAAATCATGGTGATCTACCTATCTGCTATTTGTTTGGAAATATTGCTGGTGAACTGGACACCATTTTCGCAAGCCAACACTTGTGACGATCCATATAATGATTCGACGTGCTCCTCAATGAACTCCACTACAGGAAGCGTTGTTGCCTGTTCCAGAGGATGAACAAGGCGAAATTTTGAATGAAAGTCCATTTAATTCTTCATGACTCACGACGTCCTCTGAGTAGTGATGTGATTGGTGCTGGATATTCTAGAATGGATACAATTTCATCCGGGTCAGTGCAGAGCCCTTCTTGGTCTACCATTAACCCCAAGTATTTCGAACTTCAACGACAGAAGGAGCATTTGCTCAAGTTAATAGTGATCCTAGCTATTCTGAGTTTCGTAAACAACATCAAACATTTCATGTCATCCACCATCCACCAGCTTCTGCTGAGTCTGCGCGACATTACAAAGACCAAATAGCTTGACGACAAACTCAGAAAGTCCTCGGCCAGGTATGACGAACGCAGTTTCCTCGCATGAGTCTGGGTCCAGGGGAACTTGCCAAAAATATGACTCTGAACCGATACTAGTCAAGTATTGAGCCCCCGACAATTTTCTGAGTATGTGTTTCACAATAGGCGAAAGATGATCATACGTTTTAGTGACAACATTCTATTTCTTGCCATCAGAACAAAATCTTGGTTTTCCTCTAGAATTCTTCACAATAAGGACGAGACTCGATCACGGACTCTTAGAGGGCCAAACTACATCAAGTTGTAGCAATTCATCAAACTCTTTATTGAGTATATCCAGCTGATATGGATTACCTACACCTGATCAATAATTGTTGAAGATATATAAGGAATTTTACAGAAATCCGAGCCCAATATGAGGATATGACCTTTGAGAATTCTTGAGAGTTTGATGTAGATTTCAATGAACAAGTAGACATACCCTTTGATCTTTTGAGTAACTCCATCAGTTGTATTGATGCTTGCGTCTGAACCATCTAGCAAAAGTGGATTCGAAAACTCCCAGTAAATGCATGCCAAGTCCGCCTATGACGCTGTGACTGGCATCGCTATCTACTGAGCACATCACTTATCTACCAATAATTTGAACAGCAACATACGGCCTATTATTGTTGATCTCATAACAATCACAGAATCAAATTCTTCCAATTTACCAGAACATTTTGAAACGGCCTACATTGCTGGAGGCCCTAACTTTGGCGCTTTTTTGTACAGGAACTACTCTGGTAATTGTCGAGGGGGTCTCAGGCGCCAGATTGTTCATGAAGTGGTATTCTCCACCTGCTCTACACAAAGCTATTTTTGTACAGAGGCTCAAAGTGGAGACAGGTACAGGAGGTTTACCTACCTAGGTACCTACAGTATAAACCAGGGGTCAGTGTTATTGAATCGACCTGGAATCAATGAGAAGCCCAGGGAGTGTAGGCTTCAATTACACTCTCTGGGCTTAGCCTGGAATACTGGTTGCTATTTTCATTCCAGATAAAAACAGGAATCAAAGCGAATATCTTCGTCGAAAACGGGTCTCTGGTAATTTTTGGTGAGGCCTGGAAAAATATTTATTCAAACTATTTCATTAAGTCCACCTGGAGAATCGGAAACACACTTCTGAACAAATTGAACAGATTCAATCCGTATTCATTTCCCATTTTGCTTCAATTTATAATTTCTCAATATCTGAAATATAGTGAGGTTGATTATCTTTTTCCATTCATGTGGAAATTTCATGAACCACAGACCACAGCCTGACGGGATATCAAGCACAGGAACACCGGTGCACAGGACAGGAATGCTCAAGGAAAAGAAGACGAAGAAGAAGAAGAAGAAGAATTGACAACTGACTATATCAGTGTCAGCCGTCAGTCAAGAATAATAAACAATTTAACATATGAAAATATTGTAAATCATTGAATGAATTATTGAAACTATTCGGAACTGAAAACAACAAAGTGAGTTATATGAGATATTCAATCACAACCAAAAAAAAAAAACATCTTATTCGCAAATACTAATTTCTGGATTCGTAACACCGGTATGATGAGTATCGGTATGAAGAACAACAGGAATAGCAGGAATGAAATGAATGTATATCGATGAATTGATGAATAATAATGCTGAAAAATATTATACGAACTTACATGTGACATGTGCAACTCGAAATCACTATCCATCCATACTTCACACTGGCTTTGAATGAAATATTAGAGCACTAAGAGATCATCAATAAAACCAGGAGATACACACGAGAAGAGTAGAGTGTGTGGAGCACAGAGATTGTAGAATGTAGGTGATGAAGAGTAGAGAGCGAACGCAAACTCGCGAACTCACAAAAATGCAATGAAAAATTATTCAACCCTAAATGGGCACAGGAACAGAATTCACTACCCTTGCTGATGCTACTGAATAAATTTGACTCGAAAATATCCAATACCTGGAAAGTTATGGCTAGGTAAACATCCATCATTTCAACAGATGAATGATTCATCCAAATTTTATATTAATAGCAAAGAGTTGAAAAGTATTGAAGTCTTTAGGGTTGTAATGATGTTAATCGGAGTAAACTATCAGGAGGAGCTTTGGAAAGTCAGGAATCAATAAATTACTCAGCTCTCTCAGGTTTTCAGGTTTCAAGCTTTCAAACGAGTGTAATTCAACCAGAATCAGTCTCAGGTACTGATATATTAATCAAAACCAGTATAGTAATGAAGCTGGTTCAAAAACACTTCATTGCAATTTTCCAACTACTTTGATCT